ATCTCTTCTTCTTTTCCGGCAGCTGGAGAAAGATCCCCGGGAGTCCTGCTCTCGGCTTGTTATCTGCTGCCCCCTGCTGGCTACAGAAAGTCCAGGCGGGGCCATACTGGAACTGAGCGTCACGAGGGAGCACTCTCTGCCTGTTAATGGGATGCGTTCCCACTGTGGTTGGGGAGAGAGTTTAGAGGAAACAGATGGCACCTGGAGACATCCCCCCCCCCCGTGAGCTGGAAGCACATCCTCAGCACCCCCCAACCACAGCGTTCTCGGGCAGATCGCAGCGAGGGTCTGGAAGCCCCTGCTCTACACACGCTCCGGTTTCCCCCCAAACCAGGGGGCGTGGCATCTGACCCTCCCCCTGCGCTTCAGAGGCCTGACTTCCCTTCTCACGGAACCCAGGAGTCCGGCCCCTCGCCCCGCCCCTCGCTTCATGCCGGGGGGGGCCCTTTCCGCTCCCCCCGCTGACCACCACACCTCAGATCTGAGGGAGCAGTGGTGCAGGCAGTACGACGCCTGCAGGTAACATCAATAGCGAACAGCCACAATGGCTGTTCGAATCCCCACCGCGGCCGGGTTGAGCCCCGGGCCCCAGTCCCAGCTCCCGCCAACCCAGCGGCTCGAAAGTAATAACAAGTAGACAAATGGGTACCTGCCCTAGGTGGCAGGGGGGCACCCTCCTCCTGGTTCCTGCCAGGAGTGCAGTCGATGGCGGCAGTGGTGGCAGGCGGAGCGGCGAGAGTAATGGCGGCGGAGCAGCGGCGGAGCAGCGGCAATCCCAGGAGGCGGCGACCAGATCGAGTGGTGGAAGCGGAGCCGGGTTGACGCAGCAACGAGGGGACGCAGCACGGCAGGAGCCCGATGGGACGCATAGCTGGAAGCTGCGCCCCGAAGCAACTGCGCACCAACGGGAGTCACCAGAGCCTGCCCGGAGATGGTCGCCAGTCGTCCGAAGTCGTCCGAGTCGTCAGGAACAACGAGGCCCGCCGGAGAGGGAATAAGATACGCCGCATGGGTGCTGGTAGGGAACCCCCTCCCCGCGGAAATTGTGGCCCTAGCTAGGCATTCAACTGCGCAAGTAGTTCATCGTAAACCGCTCTGAGACCCGTTAGGGGTTATGAGCGATATAGAAATCGAAATATAAATAAAATAAAAATAAATAAGATCGGGGCCGCGGCCTTTCGAGCCCGGGGGGCACCTCTGGAATCCTAACACTGTATACAAAATACCCACCTCATTCCGAGATTTGACAAGGAAAGGGGAAGAACATAAGAGCCAGGCCCGTAGCTATAGTGGGGGCAACTCGGGGCTAGGCCCCCTGACTTACTGTCAAGCCCCCCCCTTCCCATCCAGCCCAGGGCCCCCGAGCAGACGCAGGTGCAGTGAAGGAGCCAGGCGTTCCTTTAATTTGATTAGCCCGTGCCCCCCTAAGAAATTTAAATGCCCCCTGACTTTAAAAATCCTGGCTACGGGCCTGGGTGGAGCACACCACAAAAGAGGTGCCGAAATGCACGAAAGGAGGAGGAGGAGATTGGATTTATACCCCGCCCTTCATTATCGGGGGCCTGGAGAGCCAAAAGCCCTGCCAGGAAAGGCCGAGGGACTTGGGAATGTTCAGTCTGGAGAAGAGGAGGCTGGGTGGGGGGACAGGACGGCTCTCTTGAAGTCTTTGAAGGGCCGTCACTTAGAGGAGGGCAGGGAGCTGTTCCTGTGGGCAGCAGAGGAGAGGACTCGCAATGATGGGTTTGAATTAAGGGCGGGAAGGTTGAGCCACAGTGGAACCGGCTGCCTCGGGAGGTGGTGAGCTCCCCCTCCCTGGCAGTCTTCAAGCAGCGGCTGGACAAACCCTTGTCAGGGATGCTCTAGGACAGTGATGGCGGACCTTTTAGAGACCGAGTGCCCAAACTGCGACCCAAAACCCACTTATTGATCGCAAAGTGCCAACACGGCCATTTAACCTGAATCCTGAGGTTTTACTTTAGAAAAAACAGCTCATACATTAACTGAAGATGATCCCAACAAAGTAAGGAAAGCAATCCCAAATGCTTTCATTTACTTAAAATTATTTGGCAGAGAATTCGACACTTTAATGATGGTCTGGGCCTGGCTGGGGTGATGGCACGCGTGCCCACAGAGAGGGCTCTGAGTGCCTCCTCTGGCACCCGTGCCATAGGTTCGCCACCACTGCTCTAGGCTGATCCTGCATTGAGCAGGGGGTTGGACTAGATGGATGGCCCGTAGGACCCCTTCCAACTCTGGGATTCTATGATCCAATCCCTGGCATCTCCAGTTAAAAAGGGTTCCGATCCATACGTATGGTACGGTAAAGAGAAAATACACTCCAATTTTAAGAGGGGCACTAAATAAAATTTGGAATGAGATAAAGGTGAGATTCTATAGAAAAACACCCAGATGGGTTTCTCCCCTAGAAGCGTTTACAAAACCTTTGCTTATTTCACCGAGCAGAAAAAGAAATTATGATGCTCTACTGGGGGGAAAAACAAGTTAAAAACTGAAGAGAAATTGGCACGAGAAAATAACTTATCATGGTGGGAACATGCTATAATACGAGATAGGTATAGTATAGATTTAGTGAGAGGTTTTGAAGATGGGAAAAATGAACTGGATAAAATCTGGCTATCCTCAAACGATAAATTAATTCAGAAACTTTATGGCTTCCTAGTAGATGACTTTGAATTAGATGAAAATATTAAAGAAGTAATGATATCTTGGATGAAAGATCTGGGGGGAAATATAGAGATAGACCAATGTGTTGCCAGAGGCGCTGCCTTTTACTCTTGGGTAGCCCCAATAGCAAGGGCACCCCACTTCTAACCTGACCCAGAGACCCACAGAACTCAGGCCAAGGAAGGCACTCTTGGTTCTGAAACACAGAGCTAGCCACAGCTCTGAAAAAGGGGTCTCTATTTTCAGGTGACAGGAAACCTCAGAGCAAGCCTCCAGTCTTCCCCCTCCACCCAGCAGAGATTATGTTTATGGAATAACAATGAGTTCTAGCAGGTAAAGTATCTACATTTCTAAAGTCTATTTAATGCTTTGTCTGAGTACTTGTCTTTTCTACTCTGTCCCTCAAGATACTGGGATAAATCAATCAAGCATTCAAATTATTCACGATCCTTCCTGACGCTAATCAGGGACGTCTCCCACCTTTTGTTTACCCTGGCCAGGACCATTAGTGGTCAGATAATCCATTCAAAGTAACAGCGTTCCATGCGCCTTGGTGTCTAGTCATGCCAGCCACATGACCGCAGAAACGTCTTCGGACAGCGCTGGCTCTTCGGCTTTGAAACGGAGATGGGCACCGCAACCCTAGAGTCGGACTCGACTGGCTTTCGAGCAAGGGAACCTTTACCTTTAATCCATTCAACTAGCCACCCAGCACCTGGCTTCTATTGTTAAATCCAGACTCCGCCCCTCTGAGAGCTCATTGGCCACATCCAGGCCTTGCCCATCCTGAAGCCACACACCCCTGGGACTCATCATTGGTCCAGGAAATCTCTTGTTCTCACCTGAGACCAGCCCCCAGGACCGCCCATTGGTCTGCACTGTCTTCCAGTGGGTATATCCCAGCGTAAACATGGCCTCAGACCGTGTGTTTTCTGCCATAATCAAAATGGCAGTCCACCCCTAAGCTCTCTGAGTTTAGGCCACAATCCATGGACCTCTGAACATCTGGACAGGTTGTATCCAGTGTTCCCTCTAAGCTGAGTTAGTGTGAGCTTGCTCACAGCTTTTTAGCCTCCGGCTCACACATTTTTGCCTTCGCTCAGGAAGGAGGGCTCCAGAGCACACTCAATGCAGGAGCCAAATCGCTCTCTCACAACTTTAATGCCAGTAGCTCACAAAGTAGAATTTTTGCTCACAGGACTCCACAGTTTAGAGGGAACCTTGGTTGTATCACCCCTCTATAAGCTATCTCTACAAGCTATCAATCAGCTCTGCTTCCTTATAGTTCTATATTGTGTGTGTGAGTGTTTGAATATTGTTTGTATGCTTGAGAATGTTTAGTAAAGAAATCATTATTTTAGCCACACAGTTTCTGTATCTGTTCCCGGGTTCTTGGGGATTCTAACTCTGGTATACACAGGTCTGATCCTATAAATAAGCCAATTGCATATTAATAATTATAATTCCCCATCTTTATTAGAATAATAGAGCCATTTGGCTAGCAAATGGGCTAAAATATGGAAATCCGTAAGATATATGAGAGCTGTAGCATATAAGGAGAATGTATCTAAAATGTTCCACAGATGGTATTGGTCCCCGAATAAAATAGCGAAGTGTAATAGTAATGCATCCAATTTATGTTGGAAATGTAAAGCAAATGTGGGGACCTATTACCACATGTGGTGGAAATGTAAGAAGGTGCAAAACTATTGGAAAATGATACGCAAAGTAATACAAGAAATTTTAGATTTGAATCTTACCTTAATACCTGAGATCTGATACCAAATGGATATAATTCTAAAGACGTATACTTAATAACGTATATAATAACGGCTGCAAGAATGTTATTGGCAAAAAACTGGAAATTAGAAAAGTTACCTACAAAAGAGGACCTAATGTTAAAATTGTTAGATCTCGCACAAATGGACGATTTGAGTTTAATGTTACAAGATAAAAACAAAAAGGTACAAAGTAAAAGATGGTCAAGGGTATATAACTGGGTTACAAATTTGGAGGAAGGATAGACTCTGAAAATATATGTAATCTGTGAAGATGTAATGTCTACTGAAAAGCAAAAATAAAAGTAAAAAAAAAAAGCGCTCCAATCCAAGAGCCACCTGCTTACCAGGGCAGGCACTAGTGCGTCGGAAGGACCAGCAGTTAAGACCGGGTGTAAAACTGCCTTTCACGCGGTCACTTGCCTAGGTTCACTGGGATAGACAAGTTTAAAAAGACGACACGCCATTTCCAGATGCTCTGGATCCCCCTTCTCGTCCCGAACACGCAAACACACACACACACACGCTTCTGAGGCTTCTAGCAATCGCCCAAAAGATTATTTATTTTCGGCCTCAAAACACCTGCAAGAATTTTTTCCACTGGATTCTGCTGACAGTCCCGACTCCCCAGATGGGATCCATCCCTGCCTCCTTTGGTTACAGGCCACGGAGGGATCGGCGCTGGGGGAGGGAAAGGTGGGGAAGAGGCCAATCCCCCTTAAAGGGCACATCTTCTCCGTGGCGGGAATGTTCCTGGGCAAGAGGCGAGAGACGTCCCGGGAGGCGGACAGCCGTCGTCCTGTTAGCCCCAAGGGAGTAGCTTGGAAAGGAACTCCAGGGCTGGCTGCTCTTGGGGTACAGAAGACGCTACAGACACTACAGACGAGCGTTTGCCACCATATCCCTCCCCACAATCCGGATCTGCCCTTCCGAGCCCTGTCCGGCACTGCCGCCCGACTCACGGGGAACAACGTTGCGCAAACTGGCTAGAGAGACCCGAGTGTGGCCCCCCCTGTTACGTCCCGGTGGGCCCCTCACCTCCACGTCGGGGCCACGGTCTCAGGCTGCCAATCCCTCTACTCGGCTTCCATCGAATCGGCCTCCTCCGGTTCCTCCCCGTCGAAATAGCGCTCCTCTTCGTCCCGGGACACGATATCCAGGTTGTCGAAGTCCGGGTTCTCGTCCACCTCGCTATAGGAGAAGGCCCAGGGCATAAATTGGTTGTGTGTTTTTTTAAACTCCAAGAGTACACCCAATCAGCGTCCCCTCTAAGCTGAGTTAGTGTGAGCTAGTGCACAGTTTTTTTAGCCTCCGGCTCACACATTTTAGTCCATGGCTCCAGAGCAGACTAATTTATGCAGTAGCTAAACCGTGCGCTCGCAATTTTAATGCCGGTAGCTCACAAAGTGGGGTTCTTGCGCAGAACACTCCACAGCTTAGAGTCCCGCAGCAATGCCCCGCAGCTAGGAGGGGAGGCGGGAGGGGGCTTCCACGCTGGCTGTGTCGCCAAAGAGTTCCTGGGCAGCCGGCTCACGTGTTCGGTGGCCGAGCGATCCGGTGACGGATGCCTGGCAGAACGGTGAGCTGTGGCGAGTGAAAGCTCCCTCTAACCTGTGGAGTCTTGTGAGCCAAAATTCTACTTGGTGAGCTCCTGGCACTAAAGTTGTGAGCGAGTGATTTGGCTGCTGCTGAAATTCGTTTGCTCTGGAGCCCTCCTTCCTGAACCAAGACAAAAATGTGTGACCCGGAGGCTAAAAAACTGTAAGCCGGCTCACCCTAACTCGGCTTAGCGGGAACACTGGCGGCCGCAGGGCTCTTTTTGGGCAGGAACGCACAGGAACGGAGTTCCGGCTGCCTCCTGAGTTGGCCACACCCAGCAGGAACTCATTAGCATAACAGGCCACACCTAACAGCAGAAACTCATTAGGATTGGCTACATTAGGGGTGTGTGGCCAAACATGCAAAGGAGTTCCTGCTACAAAAAAAGCCCTGGGTCTTGACAACAAAGTAAACAGAATAAGAAGCAAAAGGTGGGTGTGGCCGGATGACCACACTTCTGGTAACGTGGGGTGTGTGGCCTAATATGCCAATGAGCTGTGCTATCAGGGGTGTGGCCTAATATGCTAATGAGTTCCTGCTGTTGGGTGTGGCCTGTTATGCTAATGAGTTTTTCTACAAAAAGAGCCCTGCTGGCGGCGCCCCGCGAGTCCCTGCCTTACCTGTAGTCAAAATCCCGGTCTTTGCCATCGAGGAATCGCTGGTACATGCGGCTGGTGAACTCCTCCCGCAGGAAGGCCTTCTCCTCTGTGTCGGGCACCCAGTCGTCCGTGCCGGAGTTGGACGCCATGGCTGGAAAAGAACACGCGCAAAGGTGCTGAGTGACATAAGAACATAAGAGACGCCAGTGTTGGATCAGGCCAATGGCCCATCCAGCCCAACACTCTGCATCACACAGTGGCCAAAAATACCAGGTGCCATCAGGAGGTCCACCAGTGGGGCCAGGACGTTAGAAGCCCTCCCACTGTTGACCCCCCCCCAAACAACAAGAATACAGAGCATCACTTGCCCCAGAGCCCCTATCTATAAAGTAAAGGTAAAGGTTCCCTTGCTCGAAAGCCAGTCGAATCCGACTCTAGGGTTGCGGTGCTCATCTCCGTTTCAAAGCCGAAGAGCCAGCGCTGTCCGAAGACGTTTCCGTGGTCATGTGGCCGGCATGACTAAACACCAAGGCGCACCTGCTGAACTACCGACCTTCCACAGCCTGCAGTTCAGCGTCTTAACCACTTGAGCCACCGCAGCTCCTATCTATACCTATCTATACCTTGTGGCTAATAGCCACTGATGGACCTCTGCTCCATATGCTTATCTAATTCCCTTTTGAAGCCGTCCATGCTTGTAGCCGCCACCACCTCCTGTGGCAGTGACCTCCCTGGAACTGGAGAGGAGCTCAGACCCTGATTCTCGGCCCCCCCCCCCCCGAATCCCCTCCGACCCACAAAACCTCTGTTATTCTCCACAATGCAAGACCAGAGTCCGGGTCCCCGGCCGTCAGTCCCACCTGCTTCCCTCCAACGCACTCCCCGGACCCGACGCCTGTCTCGACCCGCTCTGTACACTTCTTCAACTTCCCCCCAGTGCTCCGCTCTTGTCACCGGAACCTTCCTCCTTTCCAGAAAATGGGGACCCCTATCAGTGCTCGACTCTCCTCTCCTGTTCCGGGGACAGCACATAGGTGCTGCAGTTAACATAAGAACATAAGATGTTCTTATGGTGGATCAGGCCAAAGGCCCATCCAGCCCAACACTCTGTGTCACACGGTGGCCAGAAATACCAGGGGCCATCAGGAGGTCCAGCAGTGGGGCCAGGACACTAGAAGCCCTCCCACTGTTGATCCCCCCACCCCAGCACCAAGAATACAGAGCATCCCTTGCCCCAGAGCCCCTATCTATACCTTGTGGCTAATAGCCACTGATGGACCTCTGCTCCAGATGCTTATCCAATTCCCTTTTGAAGCCGTCCATGCTTGTAGCCGCTGCCACCTCCTGTGCCAGTGAATTTCCCCAATGGGTTGCAAGCAATGCTCCCTCTAAGCCAGGGGTGTCCAACTCATTTGTTATGAGGGCCGTATCTGACATAAATGAGACCTTGTTGGGCCGGGCTACGCGTGTCATAAAATACAATGCCAGGTAGTGAAGATATAAACTTTATAAAGGACACAGACACAAAGATTTTTTAACTTAAAATAAAAACATGCTTAAAACATCTGCACTCTTGCGATACTTTGTTTACTTAACAGTGTCTGATAACTGACACCTCTTGCTCTGAATTATTGCATCAAAATGTCTGTGCTGCTACAATCCTGAGTGTGATGTTCAGGTGTGAATCTGTAAGCTGAAAACCAACGATGACGCAGCAGCGGCAGAACTGGAAGAAGAAGCGGAAGACAGCCAGTTCCACTGCGGGCCTGATAGTAGAAGCCCTCCGGGGGTCTGATCCAGCCCCCGGGCCACATGTTTGACACCCCAGCTCTAAGCTGTGGCGCCTTGTGAGCAAAAATTCTACTTTGTGAGCTCCTGGCATTAAAGTTGTGAGCGAGCGATTTGGCCGCTGCATCAATTAGTTTGCTCTGGAGCCCTCCTTCCTGAGCGAAGACAAAAAGGTGTGAGCCGGAGGCTAAAAAACTGTGAGCTAGCTCAGACTCAGGCTTAGAGGGAACACTGGTTGTAAGCCCCTTGGGGCAGAGACCTCTAAGCTCATTTTTAGCTCACAACAGAGCAGGGGTCTACCAACACCTTTCCCGGAGCCCACCAAGTGTTTTTTTTAGAAAGTGGGCAGGGCCAGGTGGGGGTTTTGCCCAGAAAGGCCTCTGATTGGCCACCAGAGATTTGGTCGCCTCGGCCAATCGTTTTCAAAAATGTTGCTTTGGCAGCAGCTGCCACCACAACACAAGGGTGTGTGACTGACGGGAAGCCGCCGCAGCCATTTTGTCGCTGGCTCCACCCCCTAAGGCAGCCGTTTCATGGCAGCCGTTTTGTGGCTGCTGCCCACCGTGCCGTGTCAGAATTCCAAAGGTGCCCGCAGCCTCAGAATGGCCGGGGAGTCCTGCGGTGGAGGTTCTCCAACTGTGGAGGAGGCTGCCCTTGGAGGGCAGGGAGAGAGAGAGGCCAGGGCTGCTTTCGAGATACGTGCTGTGTCGATCGAGAATGGCTGATTCCCTCATTGCCCCACCATCCCAGTGTGATTGGGGGAGTTCGGAAAGAGCAGTTCGTCGGGAGGGGGGAGTCCCAGAAACTCTGCTCTATTCCAATTCACGTCCATATGTGCGATCACCACCCTTGGTCCGCAGGCCGCTGTGTCGCATCCGGCTACGGGCTGTATATGCGAAGAAGAGACTGGATTTATACCCTGCCCTTCACTCGGAGTCTCAGAGCGGCTCACAACCTCCTTTCCCTTCCCCTCCCCACAACAGACGCCCTGTGAGGTCGGTGGGGCTGAGAGAGCTCTCTCGAGGACTGCCCTTGAGAGAACAGCTCTGAGAGGACTTGTGACTGACCCAAGGTCAGCCAGCTGGCTGCATGTGGAGGAAGAGTGGGGGATCAAACCCGGCTCTCCCAGATTAAGAAGAAGAGATTGGATTTATACCCGGCCCTTCACTACCCGAAGGAGTCTCAGAGCGGCTGACAAACTCCTTTCCCTTCCCTTCCCCACAACAGACACCCTGTGAGGTGGGTGGGGCTGAGAGAGCTCTGACAGAAACTGCTGTTTTTCAAGAACAGCTGTGCCAGAACTACGGCTTGCCCAAGGTGATCCAGCAGCTGCAAGTGGAGGAGTGGGGAATCAAACCCGGTTCTCCCAGATTAGACTCCGCGCACTTAACCAGGACACCAAACTGGCTCTACCCAAAGGAGTCTCAGCGTGGCTTCCCCTCCCCCCAACAGACGCCCTGTGAGATTGGATTATTACCCTACCCTTCACTTGGAGTCTCAGAGCGGCTTACAATCTCCTTCAGTGTTCCCTCTAAGCTGAGTTAGTGTGAGCTAGCCCAGATTTTTAGCCTCCAGCTCACACATTTTTGTCTTCGCTCAGGGAGGATGGCTCCAGAGCAAACTAACTTATGCAGTAGCCAGACTGCTCACTCACAACTTTAATGCCCGTAGCTCACAAAATAGAATTTTTGCTCACAAGACTCCACAGCTTAGAGGGAACACTGATTCTCCTTCCCCGCCCCACCACAGACATCCCGTGAGGTAGGTGGGGCTGAGAGAGCTCTTCCGGGGACTGCCCTTGAGAGAACAGCTCTGAGAGAACTTGTGACTGGCCCAAGGTCACCCAGCTGCCTGCAGGTAGAAGAGTTGGGGAATCAAAC